TAACAACAAAACAAAAGAACATTTTGTTTTGTTGTTAATAGTTACTTTGTTTTAATAAATTCATTTCGTTTTATCTATATCTATATCTATATATATATATGTGTGTGTGTGTGTATGATAAATTGCAGATATATATATATATATGCTTTCTTTATATGAACGTTATATGTCTTAAAAATATTATATTTATATTGAACAAAGTAAACGTGAACTGAATGTAGTACGCACTTTTAATGCTAACCTTTTTTTTTTAACATAACGGATTATAGGCCAGCGTGCTTGTTCACAAAGGGACGACATAGAAAAGGAGAATGCATTTTCTTCTCGGTACTGAGAGTAATATGTGAAAATCTTTCTTGTCGTTCACTATCCTATATATATATATATATATATATATATATATATATATATATATATATATATATATATATATATATATATATAAGTCTGTATGTGTGTATTTTATGGATACGTGCATGGTTTTGAGATCTCACAAATGTTCTGCGACCACCCAGAAATGGCCATAAATCTCGGTGAATTGAATACAAGAGCGTCGAATCGGTCCGTCAAGTCGAAATGAACAAAATTAGATCACCGGAGACCAATATTAGCATCCATTGGTTTAATGGTCGGAGCGGTGTTCGTCGTTGTTGGGAGACAAAATCACGCTTCATTTTTTTTCTTTTTCTTTTGATTAAACAGAAAGACATGGCCAACCACAGATCTCATGGTGGTGATGGTAGTCGTAACCGGGCAACAATGTGGATAAAACCAAGAGGAAAAGAAAGGGCTCTGATTGCAGCAGACCATTAGACATGTGTAACAGGGAGTACCCTTATCAAATCACCAACCAGAAAATCGCAAAGGTTTTTCGGCATTTTATTGACGCCAGTCGTCCAATGACTGTCTATGAAAATTACCTATCCGTGCCTCGTTTAAAATGATGTTTCACAAAACATTCCATCGTGCCATGAATTTGTCACTTAATGTATGCTCTTATATCGCGGCCTTGTGCCAAACTAATCTCATTTTACAAAACTTAAGATGGCCATATGAACATAATCTGCTGAGCGTATGTCAGACAAATCTCAGCTTGGTAAATAAGCACGCCTAGAGTAGAGTGATATTCAACGAGATTCAATGATTGCTGTCACCAGTCCGTTCCTTCTTAAATGCTCCACTCTTTTGACCGTGAACCAGACTTAGCTACATTTAGTAAGTACCTATATAACGACTGGTATTTATTTTCTGGTGGTGTTTATTGCTCTGAGTAAATACGATAAATGCTGCATTTAAAAAGTTTTATTTTTTAAAAGAAGTTACCTTAATAGAGAAGTCACATGTGAAATTTTGAAATTAATACTTAAGATGGCTTGTGCCAGATAACTTGGTCGGTATGATACACACACTCTTAGGAAACAAACAATTTCAAGACAATCTGAAAATATCGCATGTAATTAGAAAGAATACCCTAAAAATAGAAATTTCTTTTTTGAGTTTAAATATTAGGTTCGCTCATAAATTATTTCCGTTTTGGTGGAACCAATTTAAATGGCGAATCTATCTTCCTAGCTATTGATTATATGTGACGATTAGGAATAATTTTGGAATACACTAAAATACTTTAGTTTTCGCAGAGCAGTGGCAGCGTACACAGCGGATTAAAGGAGAAATGTTGACATAACAACACAAGGCAACATACAGCAAAAATAACACAAGAAAAAACTTTGGAACTCGGCTGGTCTGTTTTACGTAACCTGCCTATATACTCACCTGACCTTGTATCAACCCATTGTTACCTTTTTCGATCGCTAAAATAACGCTTTGATTTGGAAAAGATGTCCTCATCTTTGTCGCCATATTTATCACAACCTTTCGGCCGTTGTACGCTCCGGCCTTCTTCAGGTGGTTGGAATGTCGAACTGAACCCTTTATTTCGCTCACTGGGGTAGACTGTTATAGTTCCACATGCCATGTTTCATGGATGTCAGTTATCATTTATCTCCTGTTAATTTCCCTCTGAAAGTTCTCCACTGCCTTAGCCGGGTATTGAACTCACACTCTTTTAATCTCAAATCACTCACTTTTCATTGCTAACCTTCTTCCCAAACCTCATTCTAATAATAATTTCACTCGAATAATCTGATCTTAATGCACTTAAGGTTGTTGTTACCTGTGCGCAAAGTGGGATTGACATGCCGAGATCAAAATCCAGCCGAGATAGATGTGTTACCTTTCACACAAATAACCTTGAAAATTTATAAATCTCTTATCCCTTACCTTCAAGACATTGGAGATTATGGCTCTCCACACTTTCCTCTCCTTTCATATTTTGTCTTTTTTAAGCTCCTCTAAACCCCGTTTTGCCATCCATTTACACAAGTTGGTTAGGCAGGTTATGCATGGTTTTTCTCTGTCGCCCCTGCCTTCAATTGAATGCCAGATTTTTCGAGCCTTCTTTCCTATTATGTGCCTGTGAAATGTCAACTGTCGCTTTGTGGTATCAATTATAAAAGTCCCTTTTGTTACCATTTTCTCCAAAATTTTGTTGTAGCTCACATGTTCAGTCCATGGTATTCTCAGCATCCTTCTGTAGAATCACATTTCTATTACCTCAAGTTAGGAATTCTGTAATGTACCATTTTAAATGTCAGTACCACGCCGACTAAATGGGTAGGACGATTCAGAGGTTGAAATAAAGAACAAAATCAACATATACCCGCTTATATCTGGAAAAAAAAACATTTTTGACTCAATACATCTGGATCTGAGAGAGCTGAGTATTTGTTCAGTAACTATCAGTATAGCAGATTATATAGTTTTGACATGTTCGATATACTGTTGTAGCCTCATTCAGATTTCGACCTAAAGATCTTACAAACTATATATTAAGTCCATCATGCCTTCCCTCTGTAAGCAGGAGGAGTGGGTTCTAAGCCTGAATGTTAGCAGTTTCTGCTGGCTATCGATTTAATATATGAAACCCGGTATTTTGATGTTTACTATATTATTTGCTGTGCACATTTTTTTTTCAGTACTCGGTAGAAGTCTGTCCAGTGAGGAAAGAAAAGGGGTTAAGCCTTTTCCTTACTTTTTTTTTTCGATTTCCTTCTTTACGATAATTATCATCTTTGTTGTTAGGGAGACACTGTGGAATAATGGGCTGCGAATCACGAGTGAGGATTCGGGGAGTTCGAATTCAAGTCGAGTTCATTATATTGTATTCTTTGGAAAGGTATGAATCCATCTTCTCTTCCCTCTCTAGCTATAGGTAAATAGCAAGAAAGACTGAGCTCTCTATCTTTGGTCTACGAGAAGAACAACTTTTATGGAAACTTTCGACATTCTTCGGCAGAAGAACTCGTGTTGCTTCCGATCGAATTTTATAAAATCTTTCAATGTGAACAATTTTTTGGTAAAAAAGGTTTCTCAAGTCCAATAATTTGAAACCGGTTATGTGTGAGGCTAGCAATTTCGTTTTGTAAACTACCCCAGTGAAACCTAGCAAAACTTTCGACGTTATTCCTGTTTAATTCGGATAAAAGATATTAACTTGACGGGAAAATATATTCAAATCTAAAAAAAAAAAAAAAAAAAAAATAAAGCACCCCTCCGCCAAAAAGAAAACAAATAAAAACACCGCTTAGGTATCTTGTAGGCTAATGTTTACCTCGAAGCCGTAGACAACAAATAATTGTATCAAACCTAACTCCATAAGACTGTGGTATTAAAAATAAATAGGAGAGTTTCATACAAAGTAGAGGTATCTGCTAAGCTAATGTTTCAAAATGTCTCATTTTCAGACACATTTCAAAAACCTGTTTTGCTCAACGAAGCGCGAAGGCCTCCACCATTGTACAAAGTATGTTAGGGTAGGATTTCATTGTTTGCTATCGATTACTCGACCAGATGTCTACTGACCAATCACCTAATTCATCTTCGCTATACCAGCTGCCGCCTATTAAGGGAAGAAGGTCGTAGGTTGCGATGAATCAGGCTATTGTCCACTCCACTGGATTTATTTATTTTTCATTTCTGCCCAGCACCCCGATCCCTCTTATCTAAAGCAAATCTATTAACGAGGTGAAATACAGCCGTAATCAAATGTTCTCCAGAGTAGAAGTATAGGCCTTTTTATCTTTTACTTCTTTTATGTCTGCTTTAGACAGGAAGAAATTTCATTGCTTCACGAACAGTTCAGACCAATAACGCCAGCTTTGATGTCTTCATTGCCACATTTTGATAGCTGCGTGCCCCGATCGTTTACATTTTGTTTTAAGTTTTTAGACAAAGCGAAGTCGTTCTTCAATCAATTATTTACACTGGTATCATCATCTTCTGTGTTTATTAATATATTTCGGTCGACGCATTCTCCGGTCTTCTTCAAGTGAATACAGCACCACTTGTGTTTCTTTTTTTTTTTTTTTAAACTTGGGTAAGTATCAACCCCCATTCCAAGTACAGTATCAACTCCAATTAAAGAATTTAATGACCCCGAGCGAATGCGAATATGATTAATTCCATTCCGCCCATACACACACATGCGCGCGTACATACACACACACACACACGCGCGCTCACGCACACACACACACACACACACACACACACACACACACAAATCTCTCCACCCAAAAAAATAAAAAAAATAAAAAAAAAACACTAGAAATAATACAAACATCAGCATGTATATTTTTCTTGTGCAAATGCTCTTTTAATTAGTCCTGTTAGTATGGAATGCCTGTAAGGTCACAGTTTTATTTTCCATATTATTATCTCTGTGTTTATTTATGTTCATTTAATTTTATAGTATTCGCAGTATTTGCTTCCATATGGCACTCATCACAACCAGTCAGTGAGTTACCAACAATAACATATGTCACGACTCTTTCACTTCAGGCATTTTATAATATGCTGATAATTCGGAAATTGGTTCTCAGGGAAACTTCTGCTATCAATTGCAGATGTGGTCTTCTTTCTTATTTTATGTGCTGTAGGCCTACGCCCATATCATGTTGAAACACCGGTCCTCCTAAGATCACCGAAGTTAAGCAACGCCGAGCCTGGTCAGTACCTAGATGGGTGACCGCTTGGGAATGCCGGGTACTGTTAGCTTGGATGTGCGGGTGGCGTGATGTATAACAAGTCGAAATTGAAAATCTGAGAACCGAGTTCCAACACCTGTCGTGTTCATTATATTCACTTACACGCAAATGCCCCACTTGAGAAAGAGATGACTCCACCTGTTCTCCTCCAGATATGGGTTAAATAGTAGGACTTGTTTCATTACATTATTATTATTTCTAAAACTTTTTACCATCTAAAAATATTTTCTGCAAACGTGAAGATATAAATCAATCAATTTATTCACTTTGTCCTTTCGGGAAGTGGGAGATCATGGTCCTTTACATATTCCTGTCATTTGTAGCTGCAAGCAAAGTTTGTCTCTTTATTCGTGTTCAGTCATCTAGTTACAAAAACTCGTTAGGTAGTTTACTTGATGTCTTTCTTATCCTATCCTTCACCCACTATATCAAATGAATGTCCATTTCTCATGCTGTCCTATAAAGTTTGTTTTGTTTTTGTTGTTATATAATCTTAGAAGCGTTTAGCTTTAACTAAATTAATTGACAAGGACCGCTTGTATTATGACAGCTTTCTTTAACCCTAGAATACTAACCATGGGTATATAGTACCCAGCGCAAATTTTCTTATTTTTAATTACAATTTACAGTACCTGATTTTCTTACCTAAATAATATGTTTTTCAGTTCCTATTAACGTTAACTCAAAGTACAAAGTTTGAAGTACCTGCATGTAAAATATTTCAAATTAAGATTTATATTTAATATTTTTTTTGATATTTTCAAAATCGGGTATGATATACCCATGCTTAGTGGTGTAACTTTAATTGATGGTTAGTGTTCTAGGGTTAAAAAACATAATCACAATGGAAAACAGGTTCTATTGCAGTTACAATTAGTCTGTGTTTGTAATTTAAACCTGAAGATGATCTTTAAAAAGAACGAAAGTACTTGGGTGAAAAGAAAAACAACTTTTTTTTTATATTTTCAAAATTAGGGGGGATATACCCATGGTTAGTAGTGGTGTAACTTTAATTGATGGTTAATGTTCTAGAGTTAAACATTGGAAAAAAAGACTTTTTTTGTTTGTCTATTCATGCAACCGGTGAAGGCGGAAGAAGATAAGCAACGTTTTCTGTATATACATTTGGTTATGAGAAAGACATATTTGTGCAGTTTATGAAGAAGGTGGTGTGAATAATCGAGCGTGTCAAAAATGGTTTGTAAAGTTTCAAGATTCTTCACGATCGGTTACACCTGCTAAGATCAATAGCAACAAAATGAAACATTATCTGAGAATAATTATGCCGTAGTAGTAGGATGTGCTGGTAGACAGAATGTTGGGTTTTCCAAATGTATGTTAGCGGCCTTAATAATACCTGCCCTAGTTACAAATATTTACCCAAACCTCAAAAACAAAAAAGAAAGAATGGCATGAGTGATGACAAATTAAAATGTTATTTGATATACAGAGAACATGCTAACAAAGTGTAAAAAAGTGTGATATACCTTCTCACCCACCCTGAAAAAGAAATCTAGCGAATATTGTAAACATTTTTCTTTATTGCCGAATCCAGCGCGTCAAGTTGTATTTCTCTCATGTGTCAGGGAAGCATCTTTTTTTCACCTTTTCCTATCCAGACTAGTGTGCCGACTAGGGGTTAAGTATCACATCAGTAACCAAGCCCCGTGATTAGGGGAGAGGAAGGTAAGTCAACCCAACAGCAAAGTGAAACCTGACCTTCTGTCTTGTGTGGACTTTAGTACTAATGACTTGAATCTACCCATTACTTACCCCGGGCAACCAGCAATGGTTAAAAATAAGAAGGTAGTTTGGGTTCTCTAGCCTTGAGGGGCAACCAGTCTAGGACGGCGAATCTTAAATCAAAACGGCGGAGAAGGTATCGGAAGCACCAAGAATATGCCAAGAAGCATGATTAACTATATCCTGGATAAGAGATATGATATTTTAAAAAATGTTATACAACACAAGAGATAACCAACATATGGAAATATATTAAGCAAGTGTTGAATATTATTTTCACCCGCTTGTGTTGGTCACTTTGCTCTGGTTCGCTACGAAAATATAACATTTACTATAAGAACAATATTTATTATACTTCTTGTCTATAGTTTTCGTTTAGGTACTTTTTTCTTTTTTTTTCTTTCTTTCTTTCTTTCTTTCTTTCTTTCTTTGCCTCTTAGTCCTCTTTATTTATTTATTTGTCCGCTCATCTTTCCTTCTTTCTTTCTTTCTTTCTTTCTTTGTAATCTCTCGTCCTCTTCTACACAAAAATCCCCCCCTCTTGTCTACTTATACGAATGATAATATTCTTTCCAAAAGATTATGTAACACCAATCTCATCGTGTTAAACCACGTGTTTATATTTAAACATGGTCTCTGAAAACAGCTTTTACCTCGCAGCATTGGCCTTTGGCGCCATGGGCTAGCTCACCAGACATTTTGTATGAAAGACAGCTGGTGACACCTGTCGGTGAGTCATTATATACATCGTGTATACAGACTAGACAAACTGTTTTGGCTTCTCTTTTGATTACGGCTATTTCTGTCTCTATTCATTACAGTTTTTATTCTGACAATCTTATTCTCCTTTGGCGTAGAGGAACTGTTCGCCATCTTAAGACTTGCTTTCAACGTCAAATGTAACAAATAAATAAATTAAAGTTATATAAGTGCTAAACTCATTTACCGGGAAGACATTTAAAATCAATCCATTTTAAATGTATAAAATAATATATTTCTTTCGGAAATATTTCCATGATTTAAATCACACCATCTCCAGAATTATATATAAACGTATGTGAGAAAATTAGCAATGGAAACATGAAGTACGGAATTGAGAAGGAACAGGGTAAGGATCTGTCATTGAAGGAGGGGAAGAGTGTAATTGTAAAAAAATATAGGGTGTTTCATTAAGACGGATCAAAGTCAGTAGTAAGTAAATCAGTGTTATTGGTGAAAATTTATTTATTTCTCTATTGGATTGTTATTTAAGTCATGGCAATTATGTGTGAAAAATAATATCGCCCAAATGTCCGCCAAAGCTTCGGCGGAACACCTCTCCTCGATGGTCAAAATCTTTGATGACATCTCTGCATAGTTGCTCCTTGATCTTACCAACATGCCTTATTATTTCATCCTTCAGCTGTTGAATTGTTGGCTTGTTGGCATAAATCTTACTTTTGAGATGACCCGAAAGGAAGAAATCTAAAGGCGTCAAGTCGCACGATCATGGTGGCCAATTGACTTCTCTTTTTTTTCGAGAAATGATGCGACCTGGGAACTTCTCATTGCATTTATGTTTGAACGTCCATTTTCGTAATAGGCTTCGATAACTTTAACACGTTGTTTGATTGTTAATCTTTCCATGGTTGAAATTGCCAAAGACTCAAGTTGTTAAATCTGAAAGAAAAAGAAAAAATCATTGGACGCTTAAACTTAATTCACATTTAAAAACGGTCCAAGTTATTTGATAACTCTTTACATGCAAAAAAGAAAAGTAAGTACAAATTTAATTTTACAATTTTTTGTCTTTAAAAATATAGCTAAGAAATGATATTTACATATTCTAACGCTTCTTCTTTGAGCCGTGACCTTTAAGGACGTGGATGACTATGGTTCTCCATAATTTCCTGTTCTTTCTAGCTCTTAGTAAATTTTGTCTTTTTGCTATCTCTCCTAATCCCTTTTCTATCAACCATTTTCTCAAGCTCGTTAGATAGGTAATGAGTTGCTCTCCTCTGTATGTCTTGCCTTGTGAGTGTTACATTTTCTACGTCCACTTTCTTCATTATTTTCCCTGGAAATTTCAACTGTCTCTTTCTGATGTTACGTGTAAGTGATCATTTTGTTTCCGTTTTCTCTAAAATTTCGTCGCTGTTCTCTTGTTCAGTCTGTCAGTTAGGATGAACGGATGTTTCCCTCGAGGAGGAACCGTAAGTTGAGAGACTTTTGGGCCTCAAATGGAACTCGTGCATACGACCCATCGCTAAAGATGCAGTTAAAAGGATCGGTTCCCTGCCCAGCTTCACTCTATCATCTGCCTTTACAAGAGCCGAATCAGACCAAAAATGGAGGACTGTTGTCATATTTGGGTGGGAGCTGCCCAAGCCTCACTTTTCAGTCTCGATAGAGTTCAAAAGTGTCTCCGAGTCCTTGTAGATGACGAATTATTTTCCGACCTTCAACCTCTCTCTCACGGGCGGGGATGTGGCGAGACTCTCACTGCCCTATTGACACTTCCATGGAAAGCGCTCGGACGAACTACCTTCCTTGATTCCGCAAAATGAATGAAGCTCACAAAGCCTCCCTATAATTAAGCCTTCGGTGGTGGAATCCTTTTTCTCTGGAGATATTTTGTTTCTTCTGAACCAGTGGAACTATGGAGAGTACAGGATATTATGAACAAAAAGCGGCTATTCTTTAAAAAATATAAAAAGTGCACGAAAGCTGTCTTTGGGGCATCACTGGATGTTCCAACATGACAATGACCTGAAACACACGGCACGAATTGTTACAAAATACTTAAATGGCAGTAAAATTCAGGTGTTGGCGTACCTCGCACAAAGTTCTGACCTAAATTCCATTGAAAATTTATTGGCATATTGAATAAAATTGTAAAAGAAAGAAGACTTTCGAATTGGAGGAAGATATTTCCAAGGAAGAATAGAGCAAAATCAGGATATACAGTGATCTTGTAAGGAACTGTGAAAAATAATTAAGAGCTATAACAAAAAATAAAGGTTACACAATTGATTATTGAAGCAAGAGGGCCAATATTTTTGTCTTATGTTAAATCTTTTGGTGCTTTTTGCAATATTGCTTGATATTAAAATAAATATTTTGTTGTGGACATCATTACACATTCTTACAAATCCATTATTTCATCATTTGTGAAAAATGAGTCATTACAGCTTTATTTCCAATTAAACAAGAGGGAATGAATAATGCTGTTCACAATTGTATATATATATATATATATATATATATATATATATATATATATAT